CCACCTCCCTCTTGCACTGTGGGCACCAGAACTGGACCCAGTAGTCCAGCCTCAGTGCCAGATCCAGAGGTTATCCTCTTCCTGCCTGAGATTCCCACTGGTCCATCCCAGGGTGACGTTTGCTCTGTTTGCCGTACCGTCGCACTGGGAGCTCCTGCTCAGCGGATTCCCCCACCATGACCTCAAGTCTCTTTCGGATTCGCTGGGTCCTAGGATAGAGTCCCCCATCCTGTAAGTATGGCCCACGTTCTTTGTTCCTAGACACGTAACTTGCCATGCGGCCGTATTGAAATGCCCGTTCTTTGCTTGGTCCCAGCTTACCAAGTGATCCAGATCGCTGTGCGTCATCTGCAAACGTGGTCAGCGATGACTTTATGTTTTCTTCTGGGTAATTGATAAAAGTGTTAAACAGCTCGGGGCCAAGAACCAATCCCTGTAGGACCCTGCTTGAAACACACCAGCTTGGCGATGATTCCCTGTTTACAATTACACTTTGAGACCTATCAGTTGGCCAGTTTTTAATCCAGTTAACGCGTGCCAGTTCTGAAGCCTTTTCAGGTGTACCTTGTTGACTGTGTAGTTTCTTAATCAAAATGTCTTGCAGTACGGACTCAAATGTCTTACAGAAGTCTAAGCCGATTACACTGACGCCCTGACCTTTATCAATCAGACTTGTAATCTTATTTAAAAAGCAATCAAGTTAGTTTGACATGATCTATTTTCCATAAACCCATGTTGATTGGTATTAATTGTATTCGCCTCCTTTTAAAATCTTTATTAATTGAATCCACTATCAGTCGTTGCCTGGGATCGAAGTCAAGTCTATAATTACCCAGTTGTCCCATTTACCCTTTTTAAACAGTGGCACAAGGTTAGCTTTCTCCCAGTCCTCTGGAATTTCCCCAGTGTTCCACGACTTATGGCGCGGTGCGCTCCTCGGCCTGCTCTTTTAAAACTCTTAGATGCAAATGATCTGGACCCACTGATTTAGAAATGTGTAACTTTAGCAGCTGGTGTTCAGCATCCTCCTGAGTTACTGTTGGAAGGGAAAGTATTTCATCTTCTTTGTGCTAGAACGAGATCGTTTTCCCAAATACAGAACAGAAATATTTACTGAGCACTCCTGCCTCTTCTGCCTAATTATTGACAATTCTACCACTGCCATCTGGTAATGGACCAAGGCCACAGGCAGGATTCCTTTTGTTCCTTGTCAAGGTTAAAAAGCCAGGGATGGGCAGGATTCGGTTCCTTTACCCCTGCAGGAAGGAACGACTGGGGGAGGGGGGGGGTGTCCCAGGGCTGAGCTGGAGGGGTGGAGTTTGTAGCTGTTCTTGTTTGAAGCAAAATCTTGGAGCAGAAAATCCAATCATTCTTCCGGTGGTGGCAGCTCAGAGTCCAGCGCCTCCCCCGCCCCCGACCCTCACAGGGAGGTGGAGCTGCTTGGCAATGCCAGGTTATAGGGTGACCAGATGTCTCGATTTTATAGGGACAGTCCCGATCGTTGGGTCTTTTTCTTATATAGGCTCCTATTACCCCCCACCCCATCCCGATTTTTCACATTTGCTGTCTGGTCACCCTATTAGGGGAGTGGGTCCTAGCTCCGGGCTCAGGGGTCTGTCTTCTCCCAGATGGGCTCACCCACCAGACCGGGCAAAGTGCTGGACTCCAGGGAATAACACTCACGTCCCTTCCTTTGGAAACTGCCACCTCCCCCAGCCATCTCAGTCCAAACGCATCTGTTGGCCTCCCAACCAGCCCCTGCCTGCACCCCGCTGCCCTCCCTCTCTGTAACGCCCTGGCCTTTTTTGGGGAGAAGGGGGCTCATCTCCTCACCGCCTCCTCTAGGGGGTGCTGGCTCCGCTCAGGCCCCAGGGCAGGGGAACTGGCTGGCTCAGGGGGGCAGGGAATGGGATACAGGGCCTTTCCCTTCTCTGGATACATCTACCCTGCCGTGGGAGGGGTGTTTGCAGACCGGGCAGATGTACTCAAACTAGCTTTGATCTAGTGGGCTCTGACAGCAGGGAGGGAGCAGCCGCATGGACGTCAGTGCAAGCTAGCTGCCAGCGCAAGGCCCGGGGTCCGGGGAGGCCCGGGAGGGAGGAGTCTGTACCCACGCTAGCTAGATGACAGCTCCCTGGGTAGGTCTACATGGGAGCCCCTGTTGTCTGTATGGCGGCAACATCTAGGAGCCCCTGTCAGGCCGCGCCAGGCGCTGCAAAAACACAGCACACAGTTGGTCCCTCGCTGCCCCTGGGAGCTCCCTGTCGAAGTCGCTGGGTTTCACCCCTCTGCATGGGGGGAACATCTTCGGGCTGGAAGCCTTTCCCCCTGGGCCCAATGAACAGGTCTCTCCACCCAGCACCTCCCCGAGGAGTGGCCCCTGGGAGCGGGACGGCTGCGGGCTGTACTCCCAGCCGTGTGGCCTCCAGCTGTGGGGCTGTGTCTGGGGGCAGGTTGCTGCCTGCCCCACTGGCTGTGGGGGAAAATCCAGGGGTTCCCCCGCTCCAGGGGTGTCAACACCCTGTACTCAGAGCCCTGCAGCCCCGTGCACTGAGCTTGGCATTTCCGCAGCTGGGATAGGGCCTTCCCTACCCCGTCCAGGCCTGGAGCCCCTCTCTGTGCCTCCCGCACCCCCTGTGCCATACGCATGCACAGCTCGGTTCAGCCTCTCCGCAGCAGGGCCCGGGATGAGTCAAGCTTTCATCCCTGCAGTGTGCGAGTGGGTTCAGAATGACGCTCGGCGCCCGGGTGGGCATGTCCCTAGCGTGGCGCGTGCGGGGGATCCAGGCTGCACAGAACAGGGACAAGTATCACACGTGCTCACATCCGTGTTGCGGTGCCCACGGTGCATTTCCTCCCCGCGGGGCTGGCCAGTTGTGTGCATGGCCAGCTGCCCGGGTGCGTGACGTGCTGGCCCCGTACCTGCCCAGCGGGGCGAGGGTGCAGGGACCCGGGGGGGGGGGGGGGGGGGGGGGGGGGGGGTGGGGGCCCGCCGGGGCCGCCGCACTGGGCCCCCCGGGGGGGGGGCCGCCGGGGGGGGGGGGGGGGGGCAGTATTCTCCATTTGATCAGTGTCCAGGGAGGTGCAGGGCCCTGGGTTTTGGGCTGCAGGGTCCAACCAGTGCAAACGGCAGGGCAGGAGCAAGCCGAGCGTGGAGAGGGGAATCACAGCCGGCACTTTGTGGTTCCATCTATCACGGCGGGGCGGCGCTGAGAGTCAGATGCCAGCAGTGTCCAGCCAGGTTGGGGTCGTGGCAGTAAGGATGCATCTGCTCTGGATGGGCTGGAGGGACCCACCCTCTTGCCTCTACGAGGGGCCGCAGTCACGCTGCAGGGGGGGCAATGGGACTAGGTGGGATGCTGCAACACCCTGGTGCTCTACTCGCTCGCGGGTGGCGCTAAGACTTCTGGGGACACATCCCCCCAGCGGCCGCCGCCGTAGGGGTGCTTTTGCAGTGCATTGTGGGAGAACGTGTCTGTCCCTTTGGGGGATCCTGGCTGGCAATGGTCTGAAGCCGGCAGCCGAGTAGATTAGCTCGCACTCGGGGTCTCTGCCTGCAGCCGTCGTTCTAAGGCATAGGTGGGCCCCTTCTAGTTCTCTGGGATTGCGGGTGTCTGCAGCTAGGTGGGTGTTTCTGTGTACACGTGGGTGACGTGCGTGCCTGAGTGCTGGTGTGTCTCCTTGTACATGCGTGTGCCCCTGTTCATGTGTGTGCATGCACGGATGTTTGCACGTGTCTCCATGCACCCCTGCACGGGGATGCATGTGTCTCAATGTACATGTACCGTCCCCATGACAGGACACCTAGAAGCAGCTGCAGAAAGAGCCAAACCAGGGAGTGCCGCACTAGGGAGGAGGGGGTACATTGGGGTCCAGCTAGGCCACCCCTCGTCCCAGCAGCCCCCCAGACACAGCAGACCTGAGTAAGGCAGACCCCTGGCCTGCCAAAGCTGGGACCTCTGGCCATGCAAAGAACTCTCAGCAGTTTTGCCTGGAGTTTCTCTGCCCTGCATGGTTGGCTGTGTGCTCCAACCCTCTCCCTCCCCATCCCCAGTTGCTTCACCTCGGCGTCACTCCACCCTGGCCTTCTTCTCCGCGCCCCCTCCCCATCCCCTCCAAAAAACTGTGGCACTAAGGTGCCATTTGCTGCCATCACATGGTTCGTTGGGCTGGTGCGTTCTACCTCTTCCCCACCTGGTGTCTGTCTGGGCTGGAAACTCTTTGGGGCAGAGACTCTCTGCTATTTTGTGTTTGTCCATCTCCTAGCGCGTCAGGGCCCTGTTCTGGGTTGGTCCTTAGCCCTGCCGTAATAAACATGATGATGATGATTATATTATAGGAATAATGTATGTCTGTGACTGTGTACACATCTGTGTGTGCATGCGTGTCTCTGCACCCGTGTTCATGCATGTGCGTCTCCATGTACACATGCATGTGAATGCATCTCTTTATGCACACACGTGTGTTTCCAGGTTCACACGTATGTGCAGAGCGTTCACTCCTCTCTGGCTAACGCGTCAGTGCCCCTCGGGGGGGGGGGGGGGGGGGGGCGGGAGAGGGGGCTTCCGATGGGATCAAATGTTTTTTTTTTGTACAGATGCCTCTTTTTGGGACCCCCCCCACCCCCCCAACCTGAGTGTGCGGTGACTCACCCTGCAGGTCTCAAACCAGCCCCTGCTGCTCACAGCGGCTTGTCATCAACGCTCCCCGTGTTCTCCCAGCCAGGGAACGGGCTGCTCAGCCTCACCTTTGCAGGAGAATTTCAGGGGGAGGTGCTGAAGGTTGGGGCCGAAGGGCAGCATCACTCAGAGACGGGGGCCCCCGTGCATGGAATAGCAGGGGGCCTGCGGGCCAGGTCGAGCTCTGGGTGTGCACGTGTAGCACGATCAGTCCCTTGTTCCTTTGGGCTGAAATCGTCCTCCAATCCCCTGCGCCCGCTTCGCCCCACTCCTGGGAGCAGCTCCAGGGGCTGGGCCAGGCCGGAGAGCACCAAATCTAACCTGCGTCTGTGCCAGCCGGGGAGCGGGCCTCAGGCTCGGGGCTGGAGCAGCTGGCAGAGTGCAGCAGGGCAACGCGGCAGCAGCCGTCCATGGGAGCGGTGCCCATGTAACCTGCTGAGGGTTCGGGTCCCCTGAACTTCAGTAGGTCCCCATAGGGCCCACGCTGGATCAGGGCCCGTTGCCCGGGTGCTGCACAGACACACAGAGCGTCTCAGACAGAGAAGATGGACAAAGGCCAGCAGGGGACACGACTGGTCCCTGCTCATACAGGGAGTCGGTGACAGAGCTGGGAATAGTCACCACTGGGCCATGCTGCCCTTGGCTACGGCAAACCGATCGGGTGGGTTTTGATGTCCAGGGGATGGGAGCCGTCGGCCTGCAGGCTTGGAGACCTGGCGGGGGGAACTTGAAGCCCTCAGGGGACGTCCACACTGCATAGTAAACCTGGGCTGGCAGTGGCTGGACCAGGGTCTCAGAGCCGCACTAACGCGTCCACACTGCACTGCGCAGCCCTTCTGACCCAGGTCCCCGGCTTGAGCTGCAGCCATGCTGCAAATCAACAGGGCTTGGCCCTGACTTTCTGTGGGACTCGGGCTCTGATCCACACCCACGCGGCAGCAGGCTTGCTGACCCCAGTCAGACTGATTTGCGTGTGGACGAGAAGGGGCTTGGCCTCACCCCTGAGTCAGAGCCCGGGCGTAGTATGCAGTGTAGACTTAACCTCAGGCTCCTGCGCCTTGCTCACTCACGCAGGAAACACAGGCGGTATGGATAAGGCAGTGGGCTGGGACTCAGGAGAGTTGGGTTGAGTCCCAGCCCTGCCACAGCCTGGCTGTGCAACCCTGGGCCGGTCACTGACTCTTTCCTTTCCTCCGCCCCCCTGCTGTGAACCAGAGATCACAATGCTTCTTTTGTCTTGTCCATTTCGCCTGCGAGCTCCCAGGGACAGAGGTTGCCTCCCAGCGTGTGTCTGCAGCCATGGCACAAGGGGGCCCTGCTCTCAGCTTGGGGCGACTGGGAGGCAAATCAGACCGGACCGACTGCAGGCTGGTGTTTCCCTCCCCAGGTCCCGGGGTGAAGCTGGGGACTGTGCGGCCAGCGGGAGGGGATGGTGCCCGGGTGAGCGCAGGGTCACACCGGCAGAAAGAGCAAGAGCAGCAGAAAGCAGTGGCAGGAAGAGGGCCGCCGTGACTGTCCCAGTCATTGTGAAAGTGACTCTGGCAAGCAGGGCCTGGGAACGATGGCCACCGTGCTGAGTCAGAATAGCCTCCAGTTCTTCAAAACATCAGCAACCCCTCGGCGAGCTGCACGGAGCAGCTGCTAGCCAGCTGCGGTGGCAGGGCTGAGTTCGGGGAAGTCGGAGCGGCTGGGCGAGAGCCGGCTGTTTGCTGAACCCCCGCTGCCCTTTGCGTGCGTCATTCGGGCGTGTGCACCTGGCTGATTCAAGGCAAGCAGGTGCGGACCTGCTCCGCACTGAGCCGGGAGAGACCACCTCTTGCTGCAGGGAGTGGTGCTGGGGGCTTCAGCAGGTGTCCTCTCTCTGAGTCAGCATCCCAGGGCAGGGCTCGGAGTCACAGCGCTGGGGGAGGCGGCCCCTTCTAGGTGAGGTGTGACAGCGAGCTCGGGTTCCAGTCTCCCATGACCCCTTGGCACTTTCCGGGGGGGCTGTGCACTGAGCAGATTCCAACCCTGCTACCCGCCTTTGCCTAAAATCCCCCTTGCACTTTCAACTGGATGCGGTGTTTTTCTTGACTACTTTCCTAAAACCACTGCATGGCATTGCTGCGGGGTGTGTGTGTGTGTGTGTGTGTGTGTGTGTGTGTGTTAAACAGCTGCTGCCTCCCACCCCAGAGGTGGCTGCATTCCAGGGGCAGGTGGAGTGATTTCTGTATAAACAGCTGCTGCATTCCGGCGGCAGGTGGAGTTAAACAGCTGCTGCATCCCAACCCGGAGGTGGCTGCATTCCCGCGGCAGGGAGAACGATTCTTGTGTCTGTCCCTCCCTGGGGAGGATGGAGGCATTGCTTCTTTGCAAAGTACGCTGAGAGACGCAGGCTGTGACATGCCTTCTGAGACACCCCCTCGGCACCTGGGCCTCCTCCTGCCTTGGGAGTTTAAGCAGACAAACCTCTGGAAAGCACTGCGTGAGCATAGTCATAGTCAAGAGGCAGTGAAAGGGTTAACCTGTCAAAGGCTCACCTTTTGGGGGCACTGATGGTATTAGTAGAACTAGCCATCGCCTGGGTGCCACCAGGCCCCAACTGGTCGTTTCACGCATTACCCTCCATCAGACAGATGGGGAAACTGAGGTACGGGGGGACGGGGGGAGATTCATAGAATGTTTCAGAGCTGGGCCAGAGGACCCAGGTGTCCTGAGTGCTAATGAAATGACTTCTCCACCCGAAACATTGCTTACATTCTGCACTGTCTGGGACTCTGTGTGTGTGTGTGCGCGCGCACACATGCATGCACAACCCCCAGCACAATGGGGCCTGAGCCGGATTGGCACGACCCTAATATAAATATTTAATCTGGCTCAGTGCCGCGTGGCAGGGTCTGTCTCCAGGTTCTGGAAATGCCCTTTGTCTGGATCTGGCTAACAAGTAGGATGTGAAAACCCTGCAGCGGGCAGTCAGGGTGCCTGGGGCTTGGGCAGAGGGCACGGCGCCCTGCCCCTCTGACAGCGGCAGAGTTCCCATGGCTCAGCGAGTTTCCAGGAAACAAACGCGCTCTGGGTCCGCCCCAAACACACAACCCACAGCGAGAGAGGGTGACCCCGGAGCCCTGGCTGCGGTGAGTCATTGTGTATGCATTGTGCCACCGGCAGTACCCAGCGCGACGAGGGGCTCAGAGCCTCACGTGCGCCTGACTCAGCAGCCAGGTGAGAGGCAGCGTGGCACGGGGGCTAGCTGACAATGATAACGCCCCGCGGCTCCCGACCTGCCAGTTTGGTTTCTGATCCATCCCATCCCGTGCTGCGCCCCACGTCGGCCAGGCCAGCTCTGCAGGCACAGGGAAAGGGGGATGGCACCCTCCCTAAGCCCACAGTTGTGAATGGGGACGTACCCCCCAGTGCTAACCCCAGGCCATGGAGCTCCTGCCCCAACACAGGAAGGGGTCTGGGCCTGTCCTGGTGGGGTTCTCGCCTGGCAGACGCTGCAGCAGTTCCTGGCAGGATGCACATCGCTACCCGAGCTCAGGGCCCGCAGCCTCCATGTGGCTGAGTAATGTTCAGCTCCTGAGGGGCTGATGCGCAGAGAGGGGCTGGGTGGCAGGTAGGGGGAGGCAGGAATCCAGGACTGAGTCATCGCTTCCTCTGCTAGCCCATGAGTCATGGCCCAGCGCTGTAGAGACGCAGGAGCCAGCCATGCTGAGAAGCCCCAGGGAAGGCGACGCGCAGGCTGGTACATGTGAGGGCAACCCCATGACACGCACACATGACAGCACACACATGCATGTGAGTGCATGCATGGACACCGCCCCCGGGAGCACACACGAGCATGTGCAGACACATACACATGGCTGCACGCTTGAGTACATAAATAGCATGCACACATGTGAATACACACATGCAAGTTATCACATGCACAGAAACAGGCATGTGCACCAGTGCCTGCTTTACTCAGGAAGGTTTTGTGGAGAAGGCGTTAGTCTGTATTCCTGAGGTTAGCCACTGCTGCCCAGGTCACATTGCAGGTTACTGCCTCTCTCAATTCTCGCTAGTGATTATAGAGGGAGACAGGATCCTACTTCCTAATGGCATAGCTTCGCTGTGCAGCTGTTAAACAGCAGCTGCGTCCCACCCCAGAGGTAGCCGCATTTCAGGGGGTGGATGCAGTGGTACCAAACAGTATGTGGGATCCATTGGGATGGGAGAACCTGCTCCAGTGAGACGCTGTTGCCCGGCTGAGCTACAGCTGCCTAAGGGGCTCCTGGAGGCAAATGTCTCATCAACCCAAAGAGGTGGCACTTGAGACCAGGCCCCAGACATACCCACTCTCTGAGCCTCGCCCTGCGTTCGGGGGGGGGGAGGGGGAGCAGCCATCTGGGGGCTGGAGCATTCATGTTGCGGAGTGTAGGGCTCTGCCCAGCCCCACACCCGACTCATGACCACTCCCAGCCTCCGCTCACACCCACACTGCAAACCACATGGACACTCGGGGGCTCAAGGCCTTCCTGACGCCTCCAGACACTGTCCCCCCCACTTCAGAGAGCCTCATATGCAGCTGGCAACGCTCTGGGGCCCCTGGGGTTAATGGGAGTCGTGTGCAGGCTGGGGAAGGCAGAATTTGGCTCATGCATGGACTACCCCATCTACACCGAGATATGCACCCACATGTGCATGACCGGCAGGAATACAGGATTTGGACTATCCATATATACACACAGCCATGCAGACACTCCCATTTGATGCTCACATGCAAACTCACGGGCTTACCTACGCAAACACACACCACCCGGGCGTACACACCTGTGCTCACAGCAGGTGCACTCTATCCCACACTTGTGCACGCTTCTTCAGGCTCCTGTGAGCTCACCCAGGTCAGAACCTCTTTGCCAACTGTGATCTCAGTCCCTATTGAGGCTTGCTATTCCTTTACCCCGGCCCGGGACAGGACTATTCACTGGCCCTAGCCTCCGACCCGGCCCCATGGATGGCATTTAGCCAGGCCAGCCTGCCTGGCTCTGCCCTAGAGCTCCCCACACGGCTGGCCTCTGCTCTCTAGCAGCTACTGGATGCCCGGCTGTTGAACCCGAGCGGGAAGGAGTTAAAACTGCCCTGCCCAGCCTGGCCTATAATCGAAACCATCTGGCTGAGGTTTGGCCTGACAAGCGACTGAATTCAGTGCCGGCAGCCCTGGGCAAGGGGGAGGGCACAGTCACCGGGGGCCGAGGTGAATGACGGCACTGGCCCCTCCACTGCCACCGGCTCCCTGGCCGTCCTCGCTGTCCCAGGCAGCCTCCCCTCCCTGACTCGGGGCGGCCTGAGCTCATTATCTGCTGAGTCTGCAGGCGGGAGCCAAACAACCAGCCCCTTGGTCCCAGCTGGGCAGCTCCCAGCCGGGCCCCAGCCTGCCAAATTGTTGGATAAACAAGAAAGGAACCCCACCCAGCGCGGCTGGAGCACGGGACAGGGCGCTGCCTCCCAGAGCTCCCTGCCCCTCCCCACCAGCAACACGCACCCTCCCA